ATGACAGGATACAGGGATGATATTAATCACACTCTTCCCTCTTCTATGCTATGTCTCTTTTCTCTGCTTACATTATGACAGGATACAGGGATGATATTAATCCACACCTCTTCCTCTTCTATGCTATGTCTCTTTTTCTCTGCTTACATTATGACAGGATACAGGGATGATATTAATCACACTCTTCCCTCTTCTATGCTATGTCTCTTTTTCTCTGCTTACATTATGACAGGATACAGGGATGATATTAATCACACTCTTCCCCTCTTCTATGCTATGTCTCTTTTTCTCTGCTTACATTATGACAGGATACACTCTTCCTCTTCTATGGGATGATATTAATCACACTCTTCCCTCTTCTATGCTATGTCTCTTTTTCTCTGCTTACATTATGACAGGATACAGGGATGATATTAATCACACTCTTCCCTCTTCTATGCTATGTCTCTTTTCTCTGCTTACATAACAGGATACAGGGATGATATTAATCACACTCTTCCCTCTTCTATGTCTCTTTTCTCTACTTATGTCTCTTTTTCTCTCTTTTTCTTACATTATGACAGGATACAGGGATGATATTAATCACACTCTTCCCTCTTCTATGCTATGTCTCTTTTTCTCTGCTTACATTATGACAGGATACAGGGGATGATATTAATCACCTCTTCCCTCTTCTATGCTATGTCTCTTTTTCTCTGCTTACATTATGACAGGATACAGGGATGATATTAATCACACTCTTCCTCTTCTATGCTATGTCTCTTTTTCTCTGCTTACATTATGACAGGATACAGGGGATGATATTAATCACCTCTTCCCTCTTCTATGCTATGTCTCTTTTCTCTGCTTACATTATGACAGGATACAGGGATGATATTAATCACACTCTTCCCTCTTCTATGCTATGTCTCTTTTCTCTGCTTACATTATGACAGGATACAGGGATGATATTTATGACAACAGGGATGATATTAATCACTCTTCCCTCTTCTATGCTATGTCTCTTTTTCTCTGCTTACATTATGACAGGATACAGGATGATATTAATCACACTCTTCCCTCTTCTATGCTATGTCTCTTTTTCTCTGCTTACATTATGACAGGATACAGGGATGATATTAAGCACCTCTTCCCTCTTCTATGCTATGTCTCTTTTCTCTACTCTTTTCTGCTTATTATGACAGGATGGGGATGATATTAATCACACTCTTCCCTCTTCTATGCTATGTCTCTTTTCTCTGCTTTTACATTATGACAGGATACAGGGATGATATTAAGCACACTCTTCCCTCTTCTATGCTATGTCTCTTTTCTCTTACATTATGACAGGATATGATATTAATCACACTCTTCCCTCTTCTATGCTATGTCTCTTTTCTCTGCTTACATTATGACAGGATACAGGGATGATATTAATCACACTTTCCCTCTTCTATGCTATGTCTCTTTTCTCTGCTTACATTATGACAGGATACAGGGATGATATTAAGCACACTCTTCCCTCTTCTATGCTATGTCTCTTTTTCTCTGCTTACATTATGACAGGATACAGGGATGATATTAATCACCTCTTCCCTCTTCTATGCTATGTCTCTTTTCTCTGCTTACATTATGACAGGATACAGGGATGATATTAATCACACTCTTCCCTCTTCTATGCTATGTCTCTTTTCTCTGCTTACATTATGACAGGATACAGGGATGATATTAATCCTCTTCCTCTTCTATGCTATGTCTCTTTTTCTATGACAGGATACAGGGGATGTATTAAAGCACTTTTTCTGTCTATGTCTCTTTTTCTCTGCACATTATGACAGGATACAGGGATGATATTAATCACCCTCTTCCCTCTTTTTCTTTACATTATGACAGGATACAGGGATGTCTCTTTTTTTCTCTGCTTACATTATGACAGGATACAGGGATGATATTAATGACACTCTTCCCTTTTCTCTCTTCTATGCTATGTCTCTCTTCTCTGCTCTTTTCTCTGTACATTATGACAGGATACAGGGATGATATTAATCACACTCTTCCCTCTTCTATGCTATGTCTCTTTTCTCTGCTTACATTATGACAGGATACAGGGGATGATATTAATCACCTCTTCCCTCTTCTATGCTATGTCTCTTTTTCTCTGCTTACATTATGACAGGATACAGGGATGATATTAATCACCTCTCTTTCCCTCTTTTTTCTATGACGGGATACATGTCTCTTTTTCTCTCTTTTCTCTGCTTACATTATGACAGGATACAGGGATGATATTAATCACTTCCTTCCTCTTCTATGCTATGTCTCTTTTTCTCTGCTTACATTATGACAGGATACAGGGATGATATTAATCTTCCCTCTTCCCTCTTTCTACATTATGTCTCTTTTCTCTGCTTACATTATGACAGGATACAGGGATGATATTAAGCACCTCTTCCCTCTTTTTCTCTATCTTCTCTTTTCTCTGCTTACATTATGTCTCTTTTCTCTGCTTACATTATGATATACAGGGATGATATTAATCACTCTTCCCTCTTCTGTACAATGTCTCTTTTTTCTCTGCTTACATTATGACAGGATACAGGGATGATATCTTCCCTCTTCTATGCACTCTTTTCTCTGCTTACATTATGACAGGATACAGGGATGATATTAATCACCTCTTCCCTCTTCTATGCTATGTCTCTTTTCTCTCTGCTTACATTATGACAGGATACAGGGATGATATTAAGCACACTCTTCCCTCTTCTATGCTATGTCTCTTTTTCTCTGCTTACATTATGACAGGATACAGGGATGATATTAAGCACACTCTTCCCTCTTCTATACTGTGTCTCTTTTCTCTGCTTTTATGTCTGATATTAATCACCTTTCCCTCTTCTTACATTATGACAGGATACAGGGATGATATTAATCACACTCTTCCCTCTTCTATGCTATGTCTCTTTTCTCTGCTTACATTATGACAGGATACAGGGATGATATTAATCACACTCTTCCCTCTTCTATGCTATGTCTCTTTTTCTCTGCTTACATTATGACAGGGATACATGATATTAATCACTCTTCCCTCTTCTATGCTATGTCTCTTTTTCTGGATTATGACAGGGGGGATGATATTAATCACCTCTTCCCTCTTCTATGCTATGTCTCTTTTTCTCTGTCTCTTTTTCATTTATGACAGGATACAGGGATGATATTAATCACACTCTTCCCCTCTTCTATGCTATGTCTCTTTTCTCTGCTTACATTATGACAGGATACAGGGGATGATATTAATCACACTCTTCCCTCTTCTATGCTATGTCTCTTTTTCTCTGATGATATTATACAGGGATGATATTAAGCACACTCTTCCCTCTTCTATGCTATGGATCTATTAATCTTTTCCCTCTCTGTCTTACATTATGGGATGATATTAATCACCTCTTCCCCTCTTCTATGATACAGGGATGATATTAATCACACTCTTCCCTCTTCTATGCTATGTCTCTTTTCTCTGCTTACATTATGACAGGATACAGGGATGATATTAATCATCTTCCCCTCTTCTATGCTATGTCTCTTTTTTTCTCTGCTTACATTATGACAGGATACAGGGATGATATTAAGCACACTCTTCCCCTCTTCTATGCTATGTCTTTTTTCTGCTTACATTATGACAGGATACAGGGATGATATTAATCATTCCCTCTTCTATGCTATGTCTCTTTTTCTCTGCTTCTGTATTATGACAGGATACAGGGATGATATTAATCACACTCTTCCCTCTTCTATGCTATGTCTCTTTTCTCTGCTTACATTATGACAGGATACAGGGATGATATTAAGCACACTCTTCCCTCTTCTATGCTATGTCTCTTTTTCTCTGCTTACATTATGACAGGATACAGGGATGATATTAATCACACTCTTCCCTCTTCCCTCTTTTCTCTGCTTACATTATGACGGGATACAGGGATGATATTAAGTCACTCTTTCTTCTATGCTGTCTCTTTTCTCTGCTTACATTATGACAGGATACAGGGATGATATTAAGCACACTCTTCCCTCTTCTATGCTATGTCTCTTTTTTCTGCTTACATTATGACAGGATACAGGGATGATATTAATCACACTCTTCCCTCTTCTATGCTAATGTCTCTTTTCTCTGCTTACATTATGACAGGATACAGGGATGATATTAATCACACTCTTCCCTCTTCTATGCTATGTCTCTTTTCTCTGCTTACATTATGACAGGATACAGGGATGATATTAATCACACTCTTCCCTCTTCTATGCTATGTCTCTTTTCTCTGCTTACATTATGACAGGATACAGGGATGATATTAATCACACTCTTCCCTCTTCTATGCTATGTCTCTTTTCTCTGCTTACATTATGACAGGATACAGGGATGATATTAATCACACTCTTCCCTCTTCTATGCTCTTCTCTGCTTACATTATGACTATGTCTCTTTTTCTATGCTCTGCTTACATTATGACAGGATACAGGGATGATATTAATCACACTCTTCCCCAGGATTCTATGCTATGTCTCTTTTTCTCTGCTTTACATTATGACAGGATACAGGGGATGATATTCTTCCCTCTTCTATGCTATGTCTCTTTTTCTCTTACTTACAATGACAGGATACAGGGATGATATTAATCACACTCTTCCCTCTTCTATGTCTCTTTTTCTCTGGGATGATCTTTTTTCTATGCTGTCTCTTTTCTCTGCTTACATTATGACAGGATACAGGGATGATATTAATCACACTCTTCCCTCTTCTATGCTATGTCTCTTTTCTCTGCTTACATTATGACAGGATACAGGGATGATATTAATCACACTCTTCCCTCTTCTATGCTATGTCTCTTTTCTCTGCTTACATTATGACAGGATACAGGGATGATATTAATCACACTCTTCCCTTCTTATGCTATGTCTCTTTTCTCTATGTCTGCTTATTATGACAGGATACAGGGATGATATTAATCACACCTCTTCCCTCTTCTATGCTATGTCTCTTTTTCTCTGCTTACATTATGACAGGATACAGGGATGATATTACACTCTTCCCTCTTCTATGCATGTCTCTTTTTCTCCTTACATCTTCTATTAAGATCTCTCTTTCTTCTATGCCATGTCTCTTTTTCTCTGACAGACGATACATGGATGATATTAAACACACTTCCCCTCTTCTATGCTATGTCTCTTTTTCTCTGCTTACATTATGACAGGATAGGGATGATTAATCTTCCCTTTCTATGCTATGTCTCTTTTTCTCTGCTTACATTATGACAGGATACAGGGATGATATTAATCACCTCTTCCCTCTTCTATGCTATGTCTCTTTTCTCTGCTTACATTATGACAGGATACAGGGATGATATTAATCACACTTCCCTCTTCTATGCTATGTCTCTTTTCTCTGCTTACATTATGACAGGATACAGGGATGATATTAATCACACTCTTCCCTCTTCTTCTGTCTCTTTTTCTCACTTACATTATGACAGGATACAGGGATGTCTCTTTTTCTATGCTATGTCTCTTTTCTCTGCTTACATTATGACAGGATACAGGGATGATATTAATCACACTCTTCCCCTCTTCTATGCTATGTCTCTTTTCTCTGCTTACATTATGACAGGATACAGGGATGATATTAAGCACACTCTTCCCTCTTCTATGCTATGTCTCTTTTCTCTGCTTACATTATGACAGGATACAGGGATGATATTAATCACACTCTTCCCTCTTCTATGCTATGTCTCTTTTTCTCTGCTTACATTATGACAGGATACAGGGATGATATTAAGCACACTCTTCCCTCTTCTATACTATGTCTCTTTTCTCTGCTTACATTATGACAGGATACAGGGATGATATTAATCACACTCTTCCCTCTTCTATGCTATGTCTCTTTTCTGCTTACATTATGACAGGATACAGGGATGATGTATACCTCTCCCTCTTCTATGCTATGTCTCTTTTTCTCTTACATTATGACAGGATACAGGGATGATATTAATCACACTCTTCCCTCTTCTATGCTATGTCTCTTTTTCTCTGCTTACATTATGACAGGATACAGGGATGATATTAATCACACTCTTCCCTCTTCTATGCTATGTCTCTTTTCTCTGCTTACATTATGACAGGATACAGGGGATGATATTAAGCACACTTCTTCCCCTCTTCTATGCTATGTCTCTTTTTCTCTCTGCTTTTTTCTCTTGCTTACATTATGACAGGATACAGGGATGATATTAATCAGCTATGTCTCTTTTTCTCTGCTTACATTATGACAGGATACAGGGATGATATTAATCACACTCTTCCCTCTTCTATGCTATGTCTCTTTTTCTCTGCTTACATTATGACAGGATACAGGGATGATATTAATCCCACTTCTTCCTCTTTCTCTTCTATTATGCTATGTCTCCCTTTTCTCTGTCTCTTTTTTCTCTGCTTACATTATGACAGGATACAGGGATGATATTAATCTTCCCTCTTCTATGCTATGTCTCTTTTTCTCTGCTTACTTTATGATAAGACAGGATACAGGGATGATATTAATCACACTCTTCCTCTTCTATTCTATGTCTATTTTTCTCTTTTACATTACTGACGGGATACTGATATTAAGCACCTTTCCTCTTCTTCACAATGTCTCTTTTTCTCTGCTTACATTATGACAGGATACAGGGATGATATTAATCACTCTTCCCTCTTCTATGCTATGTCTCTTTTTCTCTGCTTACATTATGACAGGATACAGGGATGATATATTACCTCTTCCCCTTCTTATGTCCTCTGCTTATTATGACAGGATATGTCTAAGCTTTTCTTCTATGCAATGTCTCTTTTCTCTTACATTATGACAGGATACAGGGATGATATTAATCACACTCTTCCCTCTTCTATGCTATGTCTCTTTTTCTCTGCTTACATTATGACAGGATACAGGATGATATTAAGCACACTCTTCCCTCTTCTATGCAATGTCTCTTTTTCTCTGCTTACATTATGACAGGATACAGGGATGATATTAATCACACTCTTCCCTCTTCTATGCTATGTCTCTTTTCTCTGCTTACATTATGACAGGATACAGGGATGATATTAATCACACTCTTCCTCTTCTATGCTATGTCTCTTTTTCTCTGCTTACATTATGACAGGATACAGGGATGATATTAATCACACTCTTCCCTCTTCTATGCTATGTCTCTTTTCTCTCTCTGCTTACATTATGACAGGATACAGGGATGATATTAATCACACTCTTCCCTCTTCTATGCTATGTCTCTTTTCTCTGCTTACATTATGACAGGATACAGGGATGATATTAATCACACTCTTCCCTCTGCTTTCTATGCTATGTCTCTTTTTCTCTGCTTACATTATGACAGGATACAGGGATGATATTAATCACACTCTTCCCTCTTCTATGCTATGTCTCTTTTTCTCTGCTTACATTATGACAGGATACAGGGATGATATTAATCACCTCTTCCTCTTCTATGCTATGTCTCTTTTTTCTCTGCTTACATTATGACAGGATACAGGGATGATATTAAGCACACTCTTCCTCTTCTCTTCTATGACAGGATACAGGGATGATAATCTTTTTCTCTTTTTTCTCTGCTTACATTATGACAGGATACAGGGATGATATTAAGCACACTCTTCCCTCTTCTATGCAATGTCTTTTTCTCTGCTTACATTATGACAGGATACAGGGATGATATTAATCACACTCTTCCCTTTCTATGCCTGTCTTTTTCTCTTCATTATGATGCTATGATATTAAGCAAACTCTCCTCTTTCTATGCTATGTCTCTTTTCTGCTTTACATTATACAGGATACAGGGATGATATTAATATATGCTATGTCTCTTTTCTCTGCTTACATTATGACAGGATACAGGGATGATATTAATCCTCTTCCCTCTTCTATGCTATGTCTCTTTTCTCTCTTACATTATGACAGGATACAGGGATGATATTAAGCATAAATTCCTCTTCTATGCTATGTCTCTTTTTCTCTGCTTACATTATGACAGGATACAGGGATGATATTAATCACACTCTTCCCTCTTCTATGCTATGTCTCTTTTTCTCTGCTTACATTATGACAGGATACAGGGATGATATTAATCACACTCTTCCCTCTTCTATGTCTCTTTTCTCTGCTTACATTATGACAGGATACAGGGATGATATTAATCACCTCTTCCCTCTTCTATGCTATGTCTCTTTTCTCTGCTTATATTATGACAGGATACAGGGATGATATTAATATTCCCTCTTCTATCTATGTCTCTTTTCTCTGCTTATTATGACAGGATCTGATATTCTCTTCCCTCTTCTCTGTCTCTTTTCTCTGCTTATTATGACAGGATACAGGGATGATATTAAGCACACTCTTCCCTCTTCTATGCTATGTCTCTTTTTCTCTGCTTACATTATGACAGGATACAGGGATGATATTAATCACACTCTTCCCTCTTCTATGCTATGTCTCTTTTCTCTGCTTACATTATGACAGGATACAGGGATGATATTAATGACACTCTTCCCTCTTCTATGCTATGTCTCTTTTTTCTCTGCTTACATTATGACGGGATACAGGGATGATATTAATCACTCTTCCCTCTTCTATGCTATGTCTTTTTCTCTGCTTACATTATGACAGGATACAGGGATGATATTAAGCACACTCTTCCCTCTTCTATGCTATGTCTCTTTTTCTCTGCTTACATTATGACAGGATACAGGGATGATATTAATCACACTCTTCCCTCTTTTCTCTCTATGCTGATGTCTCTTTTTCTCTGCTTACATTATGACAGGATACAGGGATGATATTACTCTTCCCTCTTCTATGCTATGTCTCTTTTTCTCTACTTACATTATGACAGGATACAGGGATGATATTAATCACACTCTTCCCTCTTCTATGCTATGTCTCTTTTTCTCTGCTTACATTATGACAGGATACAGGGATGATATTAAGCACCTCTTCCCCTCTTCTATGCTATGTCTCTTTTTTTCTCTGTTACATTATGACAGGATACAGGGATGATATTAAGCACTTCCTCTTCCCTCTTCTATGCTATGTCTCTTTTTCTCTGCTTACATTATGACAGGATACAGGGATGATATTACACTCTTCCTCTTCACTCTTCCTCTTCTATACTGTGTCTCTTTTTTTCTGCTTACATTATGACAGGATACAGGGATGATATTAAGCACACTCTTCCCTCTTCTATTATGTCTCTTTTCTCTGCTTACATTATGACAGGATACAGGGATGATATTAAGCACTCTTCCTCTTCTATGCTATGTCTCTTTTCTCTGCTTACATTATGACAGGATACAGGGATGATATTAAAGCACACTCTTCCCTCTTCTATTATGACTATGTCTCTTTCTCTTTCTCTGCTTACATTATGACAGGATACAGGGATGATATTAAGCACACTCTTCCCTCTTCTATGCTATGTCTCTTTTTCTCTGCTTACATTATGACAGGATACAGGGATGATATTAATGACTCTCTTCCCTCTTCTATGCTATGTCTCTTTTCTCTGCATTATGACAGGATACATGGATGATATTAAGCACACTCTTCCCTCTTCTATGCTATGTCTCTTTTCTCTATGTCTCTTTTTCTCTTTACATTATGACAGGATTTATTAAGCACTCTTCCCTCTTCTATGCTATGTCTCTTTTTCTCTGCTTATATTATGACAGGATACAGGGATGATATTAAGCACACTCTTCCCTCTTCTATGCAGGGATGTCTCTTTTTCTCTGCTTACATTATGACAGGATACAGGGATGATATTAAGCACACTCTTCCCTCCTATCTATGTCTCTTTTCTCTGCTTACATTATGACAGGATACAGGGATGATATTAAGCACCTCTTCCCTCCTATGTTGTCTCTTTCTCTGCTTTTATGACAGGATGCAGGATGATATTAAGCACACTCTTCCCCCCTCTTCTATGCTATGTCTCTTTTTCTCTGCTTACATTATGACAGGATACAGGGATGATATTAAGACACTCTTCCCTCTTCTATGCTACTCTTTTCTCTGCTTACATTATGACAGGATACATGGATGATATTAAGCACACTCTTCCATCTTCTATGCTATGTCTCTTTTTCTCTGCTTACATTATGACAGGATACAGGGATGATATTAATCACCTCTTCCCTCTTCTATGCTCTGTCTCTTTTTCTGCTTACATTATGACAGGATATGATATTAAAACCCCTCTTCTATGCTCTGTCTCTTTTTCTCTGCTTTGACAGGATACAGGGATGATATTAAGCACACTCTTCCCTCTTCTATGCTCTGTCTCTTTTCTCTGTTTACATTATGACAGGATACAGGGATGATATGTAACACACTCTTCCCTCCCTATGCTATGTCTCTTTTCTCTGTTACATTTGACAGGATACAGGGATGATATTACACTCTTCCCTCTTCTATGTCTCTTTTTTCTCTGCTTACATTATGATAGGATAAGAATGATATTGAGATACTCTTCCCTCTTCTATGCTATGTCTCTTTTCTCTTTTACATTATGACAGGATACAGGGATGATATTAAGCACACTCTTCCCCTTTCTATGCTATGTCTCTTTTCTCTGCTTACATTTTTCTGACAGGATACAGGGATGATATTAAGCACACTTTCCTCTTCT